ATCTCAAAGGACCAGTGTGTATGTTGAAATTTACCATTATGCATCTCTGCACAGGTTTACAGCCTTCATTACTCAAATCTTCTCCTTTAAACAGAAGTAACATATTGGAAAGTCTAATGCTCTATGGTCTTCTTAGGTTTACAGAGGCATAAATGAGACCTAGCTACCCATCTAGCAATAGAAAACCACAAGTCTGAGTTTTCAGAAAGCCTCAATTTGCCATAGTTAAGCAATAAAGTGAGATTTTTCTTATTTTATTTATGTTGATAAAGCTGGTGAAGGTGGCAGGAAGAAACAGATGTGGCGTGGCTGATGCAAGCAGTAAATTCTGGCTTTCAATTGTGCCAGGGTTTAACATCAATTCACATGGCTTTACTGCATTTTCCTGGCCCAAATACAGATTTGGACCTCAAACACAGCAGCAGAAGCTGAGGTTCATGGAACTTGTGGAGTCATAAAGGCTTCAAAACCAGGACTTCCTTTCTGGAACAGCATCTCACTAAAGCAGGTTCTGAGGTGGATCCCTTCTCATACATACTCTCTCTTGAAAGGGAGTATGAAAAAGCATCAAACAGGCAAGACACTTACTTGAAGTGAACATTCAGACTGAAGTATTTTCCTTCCCTACATAATTGTTTGGTTTTAAATAGTTCAGAAATACAGATTAAGCTGATATTCTTCAAAAGAAAGAAGACAGAAGGTACCAAAAGGACAGATAGAATCTTAGGACAGAACTCCAGAGGAGTATTTAGCCAGTTTTTCAGGTCCTCAAGGTTTGAAGCCATAACCTATCACACTGCCCTAGGATGCTTTCTAACCCATTCAAAGCACTGGGTAAGAAATGGATTCAGCCTGATATTTTAACAACACTTAAACAATGGAGATACATTTCTTTATCTACTCAAAGGAGTCAACTCTGAAAGAACTTGCAGAAAAAATACTATACTGTTTTCTGCCACTCTTTTGAAAATATAATTTTAAAAGGGCTGACCCAGAGTTTTCCTTCTAATGAATTAAAAAGCACCATTAAAGGTTTTCTACTGAATTGTTTTATTTGACGAGTTTAGTCTGAACTCTCTCTTACTGTGCCAGCAGCTATCATCATACTTCATGGCACTTCTTTAGAGAACATATCTGCAGACCAGAACTCTGTAGAAAAAAACAAACTTTTCAGACTGTGTATTCCACATTATAAACAAATGGATGTCTGCTGAGGGCAACACTCTCCTCTGTGACAGTCAAATCTTTGAAGCTTGGTCAAACTTCCCGGACACTGCAACCTGCTTCGGGTAGATGACAGCATGAGCTGCACTCCAGCAGAAGCAGATGAGGGACAGGATGCACTGTCACCAATTAGCTGAGTTTTTGACTGCTACCGATCCAGCTTTGCTTCTTTATACAAGAATCCCAGCCCCACCAGTACTGTTCACTATTCATTCATCTCTTTTGTAAAAGCCTCAAGAAAAGCCCTTCATTTCAAAACCTCCCAGAGCCCCAGCAGACCATGGGTGGCTGTTAAACTCAGAGTACCATTTATGAAGCACTGTCAGCTGGTGCCACCTCCAAGGGCACAATGGCAAAGGGACCAGTTCTGGCTGCCCACCAGCTTCTGAGCAGCAAAAAAGGGGATGCTCAGAGTCCCAAGCAGAAGAGGACACACAGACACGAAGCCACTCAGTCCTCGTGGGATGGGAAGCTTTGTTTGAAGGCAGTTCAGGAACCATGTAACATCACTGATGCAGTTAGTTTTTGTTTTTGGTAAGTTCACTCTCACCTGTCCATGCACGGTAAGGACAGCAACACACGGAATGAAGTCATTGCTCTACAATCACATTCAGCTCAAACCAGAGCTCTCTGTCACTCAAGCTCAAATACACTGCAAGTTTGTCCTGCCTGGGCACAGGAATACACTAAGGTCAAACAGATCAGCGTAGTTAGAGACCATGTGAAAATAATCTGTATTATGTATTTCCTTCAAATAAAGGAGTTACATTATGTCAAATAAGAGCGCAGTACAGTATATAAAAACATAATAACAACTGGAAAGAAAGCTAATTATTTATTTAAAGAGGAAAGAATGGTTTAAGTATAGTGATAAAATTTGTTCTCATTTTAAATACCTCAACAAGATGAGGTGTCTACCGTTGGGAAGTTATCTGGCCTGTTCACCATTACTAGCCTTGTTATTAATTTTCATATATTTATATCATTTAAGTATTGAAAGCTATAATCAATGTTATACTTCAATACTAAAGAAACAATTAACAGTCAGACACTTATATCAACTGACATTTCACAGGGATTTTCAGATCCTCAGGGCCCAAAGTTCAGCCTGTATATCCATTAACTCTGTACATTATTTTTTAAATAGTACAATCTTTCCTCCCTAGTTTGGTGATGTAAAACCACAATTTTAAAAGAGTAAACATATCATCTATAGAGGATTGTCCCCATCTCCTGACAGGAACCCCACATGTCAGATTCACTAGAACACTTTTCAAAGGACCCTTTCAAATAAAACCAGATTAGGCAGTGTCTTGGTGGTGCTAACCAAGTATGCATTCCCACAACACCTGCATGCATGGTAGCAATGTACAATTACTCCTTCCCCATGTTAATTCAAACTACAAAGCATCCAAAAACGTTTTTTGTGAGAACAAGTGAGAGAGTGAAACAGGACAGAAACCTCTAACTTTCCTCTCAGGAAACACTACCACCTTCCACATGGATCTGTTGAGATAGGGAAGTTCCAGCAGCAGGAAAGAATAGGTTTTTCTTTTGCTAAGAGAATAACATATTTTGACAAAAAAAAGTAGCATTACATAATTTTACTGTGGTAGTTCTACAGTAACATGCTAATAACATGTCAGGAACGCAACTTCTAGTTATTTTAATCACAATATTGTATTGCAAATTTGCCTTAGAATGTAAAAAAAAAAAAAAAAATTTAAAAAAGGGAACAAACACTTCAATGTTACAGAGTTGTAGTAGAATCATAGTAATTTCTGAGTCCATGTGACATCAACCTTTCAGGCAGTCACATGATGATACAATAATTTTTAATGTGATTACCCTATAACTAACAGTCTATACACAAAAGGGTCCATCATATATTTACTGGTCCCTTCCTTTTTCTGTGTGATCAAATACTGCACAGCAAACAGAAAACATGAACCACGTTGTGCTGTATCCAAAATCTGAGAGTAATATGAAGACACAAAAGTGAGAATGATATCTTAGAGCAGTTGACAGCCCTTAGATCACTACCATTTTCCCACAGGAATTGGCTCCAATATTTCTGCCATGGCACTAGGTTTTTTTGATGGAGATAATATCATATACCATTTCAACACGGCACGGGATTTAGCCACAGGTCTTATGCAGCTAAATCTTGTTCATGCAATGCCTGGAAGATTTGAATGGGAATGATTAATTATTACCTTTCAGCACTTTCTTTTGCATAAAGAATTTAGAGTTTTGGAACAGTCCTTCAGGAGATTACCCCTTAACATTTGTCCTTCAGTACTTTATAATAAAAAGTTCATCACAATAATTTTTCACAGATGAAAGGTTTTGGATTTTTTTCTTTTATTCTCCTTTTCTGAACATTTTTTGTCTAATCCCTTTATTTATTTTTTCCTCATGGGTTGAAGAGACCATCTTTACCAAATTCTTTAGTACTGATTGCAATTAACAATCACAGCCTGAGCTAAATTATTTACTAGCTGGGCATCTGGCATTTTCCTTGCAATTCGTGACTGAAGGTTACATTGACCCACTGAAAAAATCTAAGAAAATCTGAGATACCATTCAGTTTTTTACTTTTTTATGGATGTCCAGAAATCACATTGTTAATCTGGTAGATCCTAGGTCATTCTTTGTAAACTAATAAAACGCTCATTTTCTTTCTCTTCCTCCAATAAAGTCTTAATCAAATTTGGCGTTGCCCTTCTCTGGTGGATGAGAATCTTCACGAACTACACAGAAAACAATATCACAGTTTTCCCCCTAATCCCTTCCTAAACACCTCACCTGCTCAGAAGGCTGCAGGATGAGGCAGGTGATGATGAGGCGAAGGGTGAACAGAGGAGCATCCTCACAGAGTGGCTGCTCTTATCCCTTGTGTTTGAGGCCTCCACTCAGCTGGTTCATATAGACCAGACTGTTCCACCTGAAGGGACTTGAAGCCACCATCTAGCGCTGCTCTCTGGCCGTGTGCTTGAGGCCATTGTCCAAGTGTCTCTCAGACACTGACCAGCTTGGGAAACCTTTCCCTAGAAAACCTGTTCCAGTGTTTGACCACCCTCTTGGTAAAGAAATTCTTCCTTATATCCAGTCTAAACTTTCCCCAGCACAGATTTGAACAATTCCAAAACACCCTACCCCTGGATATCAAGAAATGCTCAGCATCTCCCTTTCTATCTTCTCTCCCCAGGAAGCTGTAGAGAACAATGAAGTCACCCCTCAGTCTTAATTTCTCTAAAGTAGATAATCCCCAAGTCCCTAACTGCTCCTTACAGGCTACTCCTTCCAGCCCTTCTGTATTTCACTGTAATGGTAAAGTCTTCCCAGAAAAAAGCAGGATGATGGTGCATGTTTGTGTAAGTGTGCACTGAAACTGTGTCCTGATTCAAGCCTCTTAATAAAACAGATGATTAATGATCAACAAAGCTGCAAGTAAAAGACAAAAACCAGTAACAGTGGCAGCTTCCATATGCGGTAACTGCTGATCAGGAAAACTTTAGATACTGCCTGTCATGCAGCAGGGTACATTTCCACTATACATGTGCTCTTAGCTGAGTTCATTCAATAAATCTGTGTCCTCAGTTCTTGACAACAGCCCATCCTGCTTTCTCCCTTTTCCTCTGAATTGCCTTCACTCCTTCAGCACAGATTGAATGACTGATTAATTGCAACAATTTTAGCATTGCCTTTGTTGTTCACGTTAGAGATGTCATTCATTTGTGTGAGAAAGCAGAGATAAGCAGTGCTTAGCTCACCTTTCTGTCCTTGTGTAGGGCCTAAACAGGAGGAAGCTCTAAGTGTCTTCAGGCTAATTATGCTGGTATTTGTTACTGAGTGCCTTGAGGTGGAAGCATCTCGTTACCACAGCATGACCACAGACAGAAACATTCAAAATGCGTGTCCTGCAGATAAAAACAAGCAGACAATTTCCAGAAAGAACAATCAGCAATTTTATGATAACTGGGAAATGGAACATGTTTATGCTCCGATGCAAAATATCTTACTTCCTGCCTATAAACAAGGCCCAGTCTTGTGGTGTTTGTGCAAAAATGAAGGGGGGAAGAAAATGCTTTGCGATACTTTTGTTATCATCCCGTCTTCCTGTATCCTGCCCCTTGTACCTGGCTCTGCTACATTAGCCTGTGGCTATGAATGAGCAATTATAAAGATAAAATGTTTTCATTAGTAGCTTTTATTTTGCATATTGTACTACTTCAGTGAGGGCAGATTTGTTTTAATTACATCTTGCATTTAATAGCACACATTCTCATCAGGCACTTTTGTCACCCATAAGCAGAGCGTATGATCTCCATGAGGGTGTCTGCTCTGTGCTCACACTGAACAGGGATGAATGCAACAGAAAACCTTACATAGAGCAGGAAGACCAAAGATTTTTTAATCCTACCATGACTACCGTAGAGAAGCTGGCTGATTTCTCTCCCCTGTATCACCCAATTCTGTCCAGGTCCAGGACCAAAAGCTAAGACATTCAGATTTGCAGTTTCATCAGCTGACACTATGAAGTACTGACAGATGGCCCAGAAGACTCTCAATGTCATGGGCCTTGAAAGTTTTCTACCCTCTGCATTATCACTCTGCTTGCCAGTCAGGAATTCAGAAATTATGCTTTGCTTCCTCTGCAACTAATTTACATCTCAGACAGGGCTGTCATTTTAACACAAAAATGAACAATCAAGGAAGAAAAAAGAATGGCTGCAAAAAATTTAATGAAGTATACACTATTATAAAGATAGCAGTTTTTAAATGCACAAAAATTCTTGTAAGTCTTTGATGAAACCCCCTCACAAACTACCACCTCTAAAAACAACTTTCTGACCCTATGCTGATTGTAGGAAGGAAGATTGAAAACCACCAGGAAACAATTCTGCAGGGTGAAATTCAGTGTGTAATGAGGGATGTAGGTTCCCTCATCCTGGGCATACTTTGGTCAAGCTCATCAGGCAGCGCTGCCACGGCTGAAGTACCTTTGTGATTTTAGCAGTAAGGAACAATTCTGTTCACAGAAGCAACATCAAAGTGAAACATGCTTTGAAAACATAGAACATTGAATCATGCTGCACTTAATGACTTTTACATCTTATGAGGATGGGGTAGAAATCTCTTACATTATTTTCTATCTGCAGTTCTTTGATATCTTGAAAGACTCACTGCATTTCTTCCCCTCTTCTCCATTAAACTCTTCCAGGCAAACACGAGCAGCACACCAAGCCCAGCACATCAGACATGGAAATCCCTTTTGTTCTATTTAACTTCCCCAGTGCTGACCAGAACAAGTACTGATTTTTCAAATTGCCAGGGGAGGATTCCACAATGTCTTTAGGAAAAAAAAAAGGGGATTATTTGAGTCTGTATATAAGTATTTGAAGACTGGAATTATACCAGGAAAAGATACATGGGTAGATCCTAGCATCAGAAGGGCAAGCATGTAAACATTTTTAATGCAGCAGATGAGATGTTAGATCACAAACCTAACATTATGTTAGTCAAATTCTCATTTGGTGAGAACTGACTTCTCAGCCTGAACAGAATTATGTCAGTCAAGGATGATGTTCATTTCCAACCACACTGGCTTTGTAAAATTTAGGGCCGGATTCATTAATATTCAAGGCACTTTGCAAAGGCCATCTTTTCTGTGAGCTTTTGTGGCAGAGATAGACTGATATATCCCAGTGGGTTTGTGATTCAGAGTTGTAAGGTTCTTTTTAGCATTAGCACAGTCAATGATTAAATTAATTTCATTTATTAAATAAATTCTCTATCAAATGCTATATTATAAATAATGTGAGTTAGCTAGAAGCTGCAAAAAGTCAGAAAAAAATAAAAATCTGACAGTTTTTAAGAAAGCTACACAGAATGCACATTCCTTCTCTGACATGGGTGATTCTATTCTTTTTATATCATTTCTGTCTTCTCCTTCATTCAAGTTCCAACTTATTTCATACTGCTACAATATTTAAAGCCATTCAATATCAATCAACATATCAATTTGTTGTAGCCATTTCTTCACAAGATAAAACTCTTTCACTAGAGTGCCTTTAACATCAGATTGTGTCATGCATTCATGGGTTAAAGAAGGCAATTAAAAGACTTTATAATTTTAGAGTAATATTAGTAGGCAGCAAAGTCTGTTAACAGTGTTAATGAATTCCCATCTCAGCAAGAAAGGAGCTAACTACTCTTTCATTTCAGATTATGATTATCCTGGGCTTCAGGCAACCACTTTGGTCATGGAAACAAATACCTATTTGCAAAAGCATTTAGAATAAGATTGCATTTAACTGTGTATCTCTTTGGTTCTTGATCAATTTAACTTTAGGAAAGAAAAAGAGCAGGGGTAGGTTCTGTGGATTTAAATTAGTTCTATCATTTAATTTGAATAAAATAAAAAATTAAAAGCTATTGGCAATCATGGCAAATAAAAAACAGTACCAACAATTGCCATATGATGAATACAAATTTACTAAAGGACAGTCCAATACTGATTCAGTCTTTTCCAAAAATCAGAATAATGTCTGCTGTTGCCCCACCAGGGACAGGCACAAAGTTTTCCATTAACTGCACTGACTGAAGTGAAGGTCCCTGCCAGCTGACCGGGTTATTCTGTGACCAAATGTAGCAGTTCAAGCTGTGGGATATGAGCAACCACTGGGTCACTCCCAGCTGAAGGTCCCCAGGCCTCCCAGCTGTCTCACCAACATGAAAGGCTGTCCATATCATCAAGCAGGAAGGTTTGATTCAGTCAGTAGATCATCAGGTGGCCACACGTGAATTAAAAGTACTGGATTTTAGATTTTTACATGGTTACCAATCTGAAGGAAATTGGAGATTTCTACAACTGAAAATACATGATAACACAATAAAACTCACAGTCTGAGACAGATCACCAATAAGATCATTTAAGCATAGCTTTAGCATTCTGTTAACAGGTTGTAGGTTTTTCTCACCCTAGGCATCCTTCAAAATAAATAGAAATCTAGTTAAAAGTCAATGGAGTTTATTAATTTATTTCATCCTAAAGTAAACATTTAAGAGTAGCTCAGATGGAACATTCCTTCACTGTATCTATAAACACAGAAACTGATTCGATTTGAAGGATTTGTCTGAAATGCAAAGATTGGTGTTAAAGATTTTTGAACAAGGCAGAAATAATATGATTTGGTTCCAGAGCCTGTAAAGAGCCTGTAAAACAATCATCCCAACTGAAAACTACAGGGTAGCCTGACCTGCAAGCTACCATTTCCCTCTGCTTCTCACCAACACTTGAACTGTGCCTTTAAGACATGCTTCTGAAAAACAGATTCTTACTATAAACCTTAGTTTAAAACAAGCAACATTTCTACTGTGATTTTTGAAATATACAAAAAGTCATCTAAATATCAAGGCAGAGATCTGTTGTTAAATGATTTTTTTGAGCCACAGGAGAGGAAGGCTGATTTTAGCAGTCCCAGTGTTCTTATCAGTTGAAAAATGGACATGCAAAGGGGAGTAAAATCTCACAGCATTCATTTAAAGTTATTAAAGATCAAACTTATCAAGTTATTAAGAACAAAGCTGTCCTAACAAAAAAACCCTGAGTTTACTGAAATACAAACAGATCATCACTACATGCATTTACTTCCACTTTTCTAGTCCTTGGCCCAAAATAAACATTAGAGAATGCCCCCCCCAAAAAAATCAAAGCAAATAAAAACAATAAAAACCAGCACCAAACACAAAAACCCTTACCTGACAGCTTTTTAACTTTATTTTTGTCTCGAATTTGTGCTCAAAGTTCTAAGATTAAGAAGTATTGCATACAGTATCATTTGAACTGTATCATTTTAATCATTTTCATTAAAATATGTAGCAATTTTTAAGGCATTTCTAGCTTCAAATACAATTACTGTCCTTTTATATGCCCCCCACAATGTACAGCATAAAGATGAAAATCAAGTATTGAATTAGGAAAAATGTCCAAAGAGATCAAATAAGAGCTAGACAACAAGAGTGATGAAGTAGAAATTTAAAATTGCATTAATAGAGTTCCACTACTAAGAAAAAAAATTTGCATTTTTTCTACACTTTACAACAGTCTTCCATCACCAAAATTCTGGGTTTACAGATGATATTTTGCCATTTATCAAAATGAAATGTTATGCAGTCTAAGCACATAAGCACTTCTTGGTAAATATCAGTCTTATTTTATGAATTGCCTAGCAAATGCATGGATATGTCATAAATAAATAACATTTTTATTAATAAATTATTATGGTAATAAATAAGTAATGTTTCAAATTACCCACTAGCAAAGCACAGATACTGAGCAATTTGCTTATTTTAAATTCAGATTTCCTAATTCAGTCCTTATTCCATGCTGCCACAATAGTACTATACAGTTTTTATCTGCAATTTTCCAAACTCTAAATATTGTGTTAACTTTAACTGTCTCTCAAATTGATTGGATTATGAATTTATGGAATGAAGATATTTATGCAATGATCAACAACAAAACAACAAAAAAAAAGACCCCAAACTACATTCAAAGATAAATCCAATGAAACTGAAATTGAAATTCTAAATAAGATGTACCAAAAGTCAGTGGCTGTTTACATCTCAGATATTATTTCCAGTACTAGAAATGAAACATTTTTAATTAGAAGTCAGGGCATATAATATGAAACAATAAAATGGAAAAATTATGATGGAAGTTTTGCAATATTAAGATAAACAGAGTTTTGTGCACTCAGGTATTTACTATTACATATTCCTTATGTGGCATCATTGTGACAGACTCATACTTACAGCTCCCTTTTAATACTCTAGAAAGGAATAAAACTGCAGAGCAGAAGCATTCCTGCTGCAGCCAGCAGTAAAAACCAATCTACACTTCAATGGATAATCC